TCACAGAAAGTTTGCTTGCTGCTGCTTGAAAGGGCTTTTCCTATTCCGAAATACTACAATATTCTTCAATAAATGTGATGCCTGTTCTTACTTTGGTGACACATTCAGAATACCTTGAGCCAAATGATGGAGGTCGTTGTTATAGGTGGCCCGAGGGATGTGACATCCTCCCCAGAAAAAAATTCATTGTAAAAACGAGTAGTTTTCTGCCATCTAGGGGTGCTTCGTTAGCAAATTTTCGAACTTGTCGGCAAATGATGTCTGGCACATCAACATTTTGTCGGACCTGGAAACCCCAATATGCACTATGGCTTGAGACGGGCCAAAGCATGACTTCCCCAAAGCTGAGTAAATTGTAAATAATTGCATTATGCGAAAAGCTTGAATGTCCAATGAAATCCGAAGAATATACAGACAAAACTTTTTGACAATATATTTAGGTTTGAATAAATAACAAAAAACATCAGATTTAGAATGATAGAACAAATATTTGCGATTTAATAAACTCCCTATTTAAAAATCATAGCATGATGGTAAGTTTGACGTACTCAGCTTTTTGGATACGAAACAAATTGGAATATTTTTGTTCTGTCTCTATCCACATTTGAAGAGGAGAATCGAGAACTTCATCGTACCCTCGGTACGATAGAGCTGGAAAATGCATTTTAACTAATGCAATTAGTCCTATAAAGCTTGGGTGATTATGGAACAGAAAAACAGTTTTCTCACATCCCTCAACAGGTTAAATTTTATTATCAGTTCGACGTGAAGTCTAACTTGATACAGTAGTATTCTCGTTGGAATTATAAAAATCATATAGAATATCTGGAAGTGTTTATACCTGGCACTCACGGATCGAAAATGCAATGAAAGAAAGAACAATAACGTTCTTTCTGAATAAATTACACTGAGTGCTAAAGCCACGCAAATTTAAGTGCGGGATTTAAAGACTAGAGGAGAGAGGAGGAAGAGAGTTTGGAGAGAGTTTGGAGAGAGTTTGGAGAGAGTTTGGAGAGAGTTTGGAGAGCGTTTGGAGAGAGTTTGGAGAGAGTTTGGAGAGAGTTTGGAGAGAGTTTGGAGAGAGTTTGGAGAGAGTTTGGAGAGAGTTTGGAGAGAGTTTGGAGAGAGTTTGGAGAGAGGCGTTTAGAGGAAAGAAAAAAGTGATTCAACTATTAGATGTTTCTTCGCTCTCTTTGCTCCGGTCCTTCATATTGGAAATTGAAATTTAAGCTGCTCCGGTACCTGAGACAGGGTAGGGCTAATTGTCGGCTACATGCAGCTAGAAAAAAGTTTTACTGGATCTTGGAAACGTATCAAGATTAGGCGTGCTTGTAGAGCTGTTTGCAAAGACAATGCAAACTATCTGGGTGTTTCCAAATCTTTTTTGCCATGAGTCAATTAATGTTTATTAATAACAGATACAAATGTCATTTAATCAATTTGGTACCATCTTTCAACCATATGTCAACTCAATGGCTGTTACCTATAAGTTCTACGGCACAATTCGTTTTTTGCATTCAACTACAATCTAGACATACTGTGTAATTAAAAATTAGAAAATAAACTCTTTTACTGTCCTTGAGGGATGAGTGACTATAAATACGCTATTGGTAAATGGAACGTGACGATTCTAACTAACTGATCATGAAAAAAGTTGCCTGATGACTGCATTTAGCGTGAAAATCGGAGTAGCAAGTTGGGGAAGAACGTAAAATTTTCAACTTACGCCGTAAGACTTGAAAATCACCTCACATTGCTCCGTATTCGTTTTTATCCGTTTTCATATCGATCTATTTCACCTGTTCACACTGCGCTGGATACATTTGATAACGGTGTGAAAACGATGAAGCGTTTACATTGCTCCGCTCTGGATAAAAAGGAAAATGCCACGAACTTGTTTACAGACCTTGCGACTGCTAATAAGCTTTTCAAAAATCCCACTGCCACTAATATTCCTCCAAATAGTGTGCTAACTTCGAGTGAATCAGCCATGTTAAGAGAAGTTGTTCAAATTGCCGCGGTCCAAGCATCTTGCTGTGTTGTTGTTGCTGCTATCGTTTTCAAAATTATCCGTTTTCGGTGTTCACACTGGGTTTTGCGTTTTTAGAAGTCTCTGTTTTCGCAGCGGAGCAGTGTGAACGCAAGGTGAAAACGGATACTTTTTTTCCGTTTTCATTGGAATCCGGAGCCATGTGAACGGGGCCTAAAGCAAAATACAGAAGACTTGACGCTCTGAGATGTATGTCATCAAGCTTGAAACTCGGATCAAAAGCGTGTACATCTCTGGTTATACGGCATTGAGCACTATATTTTTATCTATAAACATATACTTTTAAACCATGATATACTCTATAACGTGAATGTATCAGGGTGTGCTTTTGCACAATAGTCGTTTCCTTGGCAGAATATTTATCAAGGAGAATTTTATGTTAAAAATTTTGACCCTTTATCCATTTCCATTGCTTGAAGAATAAATGTCGCTGTTATTCCTATTCCATCAAGATACTTATTTTGGCCTGGTTTGCATATGAAAAAGCCTAGTCCAGAAATAGCTCGTCTTTCCACTTGCATTGCACCATGAATTTCCTCGCAAACATAATTTAAGACCAGTTGTAATTTGAGTGTGTCTCTTAAGCGTTTCAATATTTTTACTAGCATTCTCCACAGCGGCCGATCTGTCTGACCACCATGTTTTTGTCCGGGGATTCCATTAAAACTCATTCACTGATCTCTCAAATTCCAAGTGTCTATGTTTCTTTCAGTTTCCCTTTTAAGATATGAATGTAAATTCTAGACAGATTATTTAATTTGCTTGGTTATTAACACTTCATCTTCTTAACAGCTAACATGGCATACAAAAAACCATCGCAACAGTCTTCGCTACATATCTTCGGCGGTATAAATCTCGTATCAGAGTTTGGAAACGATGGAAACAGAAACGGAGAATGGCAAGTATGTGCAATTACAACAACATCTCCTCCCCCTTGGTGGCAAGTTGATCTTATTAATCGTGTGCATGTAGGAACGGTTATCATTAGAAGTGGTACAACTTTTGGACAATTAAAGATCAATCCATTCAGCATAAGTGTTGGTGATGATGAAACGAATGGTGGACGATCAAATCCATTGTGCGTATCAAATCAGAACGTAGTAAGTGGGGAAGTGAAAGAAATGCATTGTGGGCAACCCCTTTTAGGGAGATACGTCAGTGTATTTATCGACAGAGAACAGAATCTTCAAGTCTGTGAACTGGAAGTTTATCAAGGTTTGTTTCGATTTTATGAAGTTTTTATTCAGAATCGAATAGAATGATTTTCAGTTTTCTAGAGTATCAATACATTTAACACGGGGGGGGGGGGGGCGGATCTAAGCCGCCTCGAGCGCCCTCCTTAAGGCAGCCAGATTTTAAAAAGTTGCAAGAAAATTCGAGCTGAACCTAGTTGGACCTGAAAAGTCTTACCACTTTATGCCTTTCCCCTGATATAAGCTTTTTTGCATTAGCACAGCAGCGCGTCGACTTTGTAAGTGCGAAAGAAAAACGTCTATATTAGGCTACCCCTTTCCCTTTACACTGCAATCCGCCGAGAGTAAACAACAATAAAATCACGAAAATCAGTGAAGGCTATGTTTCTATTGTTTTCTATTTCTCATGATTTTTCTGTCAAGAGATTCGCTTCCGTCCTAATGTTTTACTTAGAAGGGGGAGGGAGAAAAATTTTCTGTGTCTTATGCTTTACGCTAACCAGAGCAAGTCACGTTCACGGAATTTCACGAAATTTCGGTATTATGCTATCTTTCAAAATTCAAGTATTTCTATATTTTTGACTTCGGGTACTGAAATTTCTAGATTTTTTTCCGATTGTCCAGTTCTCGTTTTATAACAACCGATGTTTTTTAATTAAAAAAATGAGTAAGGTGCATATTAGCTCTACAGTATGTTTTAGTAAGCAATACCGCAACAATCAACAATGCTGGAAGATCTGTGTGCGGGAGGGGTGACAAAGCACCACCGAAAAGGGCAAAACGATAGCAAAATAAAAATTGTAAAATTTCACGAGGGCAACCACTTCCGTGCTCCGGCGTCATTGGTAACAGTTTTTCATTGTCATAAATTTTCCAGAGAAACGAGGGATGCAATAAGGGGTGATTGTTTTAAAAGCACATTTTCAATTGCACGAAATGGAAAAGGTTACATTTATCAGTGTAATAATTTGCGGTTCCCGTGTATATTTACTCAAAGTGGGCGTTTCTGAAGAACTATAGGGCGCGGCAAAGTTGTCCAGAGACTCCGCCCTTCTGGCCCCCTGTTAGAAAACATGAAGACTCTGCGGAGGACACGTTGAAAATAATGAGTATTGTTTAGTTCATTTCCGTGAGGTATATAAAGGGATTGATTCGAGGTTGGGGAACTTTCATTGATAGGACTTTGATTGTTGGATTGCTTGAATACAGATGGTTCTCTTTATCGATTGGAACACGAACGCGTGTATGGAATAAAAATTGAATATGTTTCGAGAATATATGGATATCGTTTAGTAATCGTTTATATTGGAATCTAGATTGTAGATTCACTGTTTACAAATATGACTGGTTGAGAGAACCTTGGAATCAAATTCTTAATTTGTCTAGTATTTTGTGCTGTCTTTGTTGATTCCGGGAGTGAATTCCAGATTTTAGGCCCTTCAAAACTTAAAGATCTGATACCATTATTGGTAGTTCTGGTTTTTGGAATGTCAAGGATGTCAAGGGGGTTTTTGAGTCGAAGGTTATGACCTGTTGTTTTGGGTACAAAATAGTCTTTCATGAAAACAGGATTAAGGTTGTTAAGTGTTTTATAAACTTTGAGCGCTAAAATTCTAGCTAATTGGACATGTATGGTAGTTTCTTTTGAGTGAGCAAGTAAATCTTTGTACGAATCTTTGAAATACTCTCATTTTTTTATAAGAAACTGGCTATAAGAAACGAGTACTGGACAGTCAGAAGAAATTAAGAATCTTCAGTACTCGAAGCAAAAGAATAAAGAAACCGTGACAGGAGCGGATCCAGACTATAGCAACTGTAGCTTGAGCTATAGTCAAATTCTCAGTGTTTGATTTTCGAAATACAAAGTTTCCTTGCAGTCCCTAAAAATGTTTTTATGCCCACAAGTGTTTACTATCAACATTTGAAAGCAGCGGTATAGGTTATCAAATGGGATTAACAAACATAAAATGCTGGCAATGTGTCATCACAATGCCTCTCCAGATAAGATATAAAACACTGAGCGCAGAATGGTCTAATATTAAAACTTAGACGAATCAGAAGTTTTTTTCTTTGTTGACAGTAACCAACCAGAATTGAGCTACACTGGATATTCCGAGCTATAGTCAGTCTGGGAATTTGCTCTGGAAAAGACATCGAAGACAATGAAACCCGTACTATAATTTTTGGCCCGAGCTATAGTGAAGCTATAGTCAGATTTGAAAATGGCCTTTTAACCAATAGAATATGAGTATCCGCGGTACTTCTTCGCTCTCTGTCCACTGTAAAGCAACAGTGGACTATAGCTCATTTTCACATCCTGGGTCCCCTGTAATGTAGCTTCAAAGGCAAGGACCTACTAGGGAATAGACAGGGACGGCGGAACGACCAAGCGGCAAGAGAGGGGGGGGGGGCAGGCGCGAGTAAAAGGGCTTTTGAAAGATAAGTCTCAGCTTCTACAAATTCATACGTAACTGCAATTTTATTTCTATCATCTGTAGGTATCTTCAACATTGGCTAACTTTCGGCATAAGGAATTATTTCACATGTTTTGAGAAGTTCAGAATTTTATATGAATTTCTCTGATTATTACAATTGGCCAGTTTCAAGGGAACTTTATTAAAAACAACCCTTGCCCCTTCTGTCAAAGGGCAACAGGGGCGGTTGTACCCCCACACCCCCTTCTCTGCCGTCCCTGGAAATAGAAAAAGGATGCTCGAAGAAATATTTATTAATACGAAGCAACTATAAACACACATGGTTATATCATTTGCCCATATAGTGGGCGTGTCCCACAAGCAAGGAGGGCGTGGTCCCGATCCCAAAAGATTTGAGCTATAGTCACCAAAAATCCTGGATCCGCCCCTGGTGATAAAACGTGATAAAACTGAGAACAACGAAATTTTATAAAATCCAAGAACAAGATTGCCCTGTTGGCCTAGAACTTAAGACACAAGGGATAAAAATATACTTCCCAGATCTAAATACAGCATCGGAACGGAAGCGAATCTCTTGACGTGATAAAAAAGGTCACGAACATTTCATAACATCATACATGACATCATAATTAAGAAAAATCTTGAGAAACAATGAGTATTGAAATTTCCAGAACATCAAGAAACTGGAGTACTCAACATCGACCTTTGTTTCTTATTAAAAAATTTGTGTTGTCCGAATAGGCTAGTCTTAAAGCCCTCTCATTAATTTTCTCTAGCTTATAATGACTTCCTTTACCAAATAACATCTATATCAATGGACAATAATTGAACGGGAACATTGCTCGGTTTAGTAATACCGACAGAAATTGTTTATTTGGCAATGTTACCCCTCACCCCCTTTATTTAAGAAGAGGCATTCAAGACTTGTTCTGGATCCGCTCTAATATAATTTAAAAATATATCTAATATCACTTTTACTAATGATTTCTTGATTCAAATTTAATTTAAAGCTGTTTCTTTAGCAAACAAAACATCATGTGTGGATTGGTACCGCATTGGTGCAAGGAATAACGGTATTTATGCTATTAATGGAACTGGCCTCATACACCACGTCT